ATAGCGCCAGCATATTAAAAACCGGACTTTCGTATCCTTGACAGATATGAATAAACGACCTCTAGCTGATGGACAGAAGAGGCTGTAATCTGCCTGCTGCTATGGACCAACCCAGAAGCACCCAGTATGTTACCAGACCAGCAGGGAGTATATACTCGTGCTTCTCGACTTATGATGGGGTTATGTTCTGATGACCCCATCGCAAGTGGAAAATATCGTAAGTTGAATATGATATAAGTAAGTAAATAACTACTCTCTCTGAATAGGTACTTACTGTAACTAACTAAATACCAATAATTTGAATAAGTTTACCGATAAGTTTATTACATTAAACGCAGAAAGAACACACTGTACGATACACCGTATGAGATGTTTACGCTCACAATCGCTACAGAGACTAGGAGTGTGGTAAGGTGGACACTGCCTTTGCTCGGCGTCAGTAGAAAGTATCATTACTACTTACTCGTATCATACTACTTACTCGTATCATACTACTTACTCGTATCATACTACTAGCCCAGGAACGGTTCAAATTTCAAAGTTGCCTACTAAACGTGCATTGCTATCGCATATTCGTAAAGTCAAAAATATCTTAAGTCAAACCATCGTAAAGCAATCGTAAATAATCATATCTTTTCGTACACAGTTATTTCCAGTGTACCGAACTGTTACTTTTGAGGATATCTTTGCGTATCTTTGTCGTGCCTGCCCAAGCATGTTACAGGACGTGGGAGGAGCCAGGCCTGTGTAACATCACACCACCATGCTGCCAAGGGAGGAACGACAGCCCCAATCACGATCTCTCGCACTCTCCCCCCCCCAGCCCCAAAGCCAATGAGTGACACATGTGAGACGACCAATCAAATCGCTGCTTACATCCAGAGCCACGGACTGCTTCGCCCACGATTTCTTCACCTGGTCGTACATGATGGTGTTGTTGATGCCAAGGCCACAGAAGATGACGAACGCCTGTGCAGGAAACGAAGGTGACAGCTGTCACGGCTTTGGGATCGTGAGCGGATAACACACATACACACACACACACACACACACAGCACTGCGGCTGCACACGCGTACAAACATCGCCTGATTCATCGCCTGTGAGTGACTGCATTAAGGCTGCACTGTGTCACACGTATATAAACAGTTTATTTGTATCCAGAGCGACACCTATTTATGAAGATTTATTAGTACACTGAAGCTGACTGCCACTCACTCTACAACACAACAACAAATACAATAAAATCAGTGAGCTAGCCTTTGCTTTTGTTCTTAATGAACACTCTCACTTTCTTTCCAACAGAAGATACGGGTGTCAATGCCATTGTGTCAGCCCTGCAGGGGGCAGCATGGAGCACACTGATGAACTGGCGGGAGACAGTACCTCGAAGAGCCGCTGGTCTGCGTCGTCAAACGGCTTTCCATCCAGTCTGTTCAGCACCTGGGCCACCCCTGCTCGGGACACGTCGGGACCCGTAAGCACCTCCCGTCCCCTCGCAGGTACCCTGCAATCCTCTGCCTCTGGTTTCTTGGCTGGTTATTAAGTCTGACTTGGCTGCTATCTCATTTACACAATCCATTTCCCCTCACTGGGCCCCAATTAGGCTGCAATCACTCCCACACGTTAATTAAAGTCATTGATAAAACAATACAGGGAACCAGCCTTTGGCTGCACTGATGCATATTTTTCTGGCATTTCTTTTCGGTCCATTTTTACACTCTGCTAGTGGGCAAATATATACAGGATATATAGTATTATATTAAATTAATATATAATACAAATAAACATACTGTAATGATATTATGCAATCAAATTAAACAAATTAAATTATACCAATATTTAATTTGATAAATATCCAGAAAATAGTCATATTTTAGACATATTAAATATAAAAATATATTTAATATATGAATATATATATTTACATATGATAAATTATGTACATGTATAAATACAGTATATATTGGTGTTTGTTGAGGTACTGATTTTTCTGGTAAATATCAGAAAAAAACTAAATATAAAAATGTATAATATTTTTCCCGCATCCCAGTGTCAAACTGACAGCTGAGTTTAATGTACCGAGCAGTAAAATACTACAGTTATTGCGCTTTTGGCATTTGGCCTGGGAAAAGCCAGGATCCCTTTGTCTGTTTGCAGTTTAATTACGCCTTCCATGATATTAAGAGTCACACACCACCCACCCCCCCAATCCCCGCCCCCTGCTAGTGCCTCTTCAGGAATTTCAGCCTTGTCACAAAGGAGCATCTCAGCCGGTCCCGCTCGGGTCATGGCCTCTGAGCGCTGACCTGACTGGGACCCTCGTCATAAACCGCTCCGAGGGGAAGGCAGGAAGACCCATGAACTGAACAGGGCTCCCTTTGTCCCGTTGGGTCTTTCCGTGTCTCGTGGAGGCGTGCTGACGGCGGCAACTGGGGGCTTTTCAATAAGCAATAATTAATGGGGCAGAAGGGGGGTCTGCCCATCAGTGCCCCCTGCTGGCCGGTGGCAAAATCGCCGCTACCACAAGCCACCTCCCTGGGGTCAGCATTCACCCCCAAGGTGCCCGTCAGTCCCAGTCTGCCAATCGTCGACGGCGCCCTTCTGTCAGCCACACAGCCCGTATAAACGTCCTTCATCGAGCGCCAGCCGCCACTGAGCGCTCATTCATATCTGTTAAGATCAGGGCGGGGGGGAGGAGGGGGCGGCGGTCTTCATCCTTTTAATGGAACACATCCTTGACGCGGTGCGCCATTGCAGCTACGGGCCCATCTCCTCCCTCCCCGAGTGGCTCTTCCTCCCACGCATGCACGCTCGCCCACGCGCGCCATTGCAGCCCGCTTCTCCCGCCCCCCCCCCACTGCCGCCTGACCTTCCTCTGGGGGTCCACAGCTTCTCTGTGTGACACACTGGAGTGTGTTTTACACCCTTATCCTGCAGGGCCATTCTAGAAGGTAGCGGGGCATAAAATGGGTCATAATTCATACAGAGGGGCCAACCTCACCAACAGCCAATGATATGTTTTGAATTGGTGAGTGACAGGGGAGGGGGAACTGCAGAGGCCAATCAGCTTCCAGTGTCCCTGTGGCCCCGCCTCTGTTAACGTCCCTGCTCTCTCTCTAACACACAAATGCGGCATTGGCACACGCCACACTAACCACAGCTGTTGCGTAGTGCAGTCCCCACCTTGTGAAGAAAAGTTAATCTGGGCCTATCGAGAATGAGCCCTCGTCCGCGAGATTGCAAAGCCTACCAGGCCACGAGCCGTTTTTCCCCTCACGTGTGACTTTCAGCTATTGCTGAGTCCAATGGGCGGCCGGACTTACCGATTATTTGGTGGTTGCTGTTCCAGATCGGCACGCAGAGCACTGAGCGGATATGGAAGCCAGAGAACTGATCGGCCTGAAAGAGACAGGGGACAAGGGTCAGGGGCCAATCAAAGAGCATCCAATCCATGTAAACAGAACAGATAGACTATGGCCATTTGTGAAATGTGAAACTATACATGTACCCAATGAATGTGTGAATCAATCAATCTATCTATCTATCTATCTATCTATCTATCTATCTATCTATCTATCTATCTATCTATCTCTGCAATATGTAATCTAAGACAATGTACAGCCCTGACATCTTAGCCGTGTCAGGTCACTGTACTGACAGCTTCAGCTGTCCTGCACATATTAAAGCACTACAGCAGGACGTTTCTCTGCTGACAACGGCCAGTGCTTCATAATGTCTGGCCGTCTGGCTCTCTGATAGGGTAGCAGACTTCTGGACGGACCTCGGCGTCGAAGCGTGGGTCCTGGTAGGCGTCGCTGATGTTGACAGGGAGTCCCGTGGAAGCCACAAGTTCCGCGATGCTGTTGTTGATGAGCCAGTCGGAGTAGGATGATTTCTCCAGGCTGTCCTTAAAACTGCAGGGAGAACCATGCAAAGAGACCGTCAGGGGACGGGGTGCGGGGGGAGGGGATGGGGCGCGGGGGGAGGAGACGGGGTTCCACAGCTGAATGCAGTAAAAAAAAAAAAACAGAGATGGACAGTGAAGAAGCAGCCCAGCAAGTGAAGCTCTTCGATGTTGGTGCTTCTGAAGTTTGCCGTGGACCACAAGTGAATTCTTAATCAAATCAAGCCTATACTTTTATTTGAAGCAGAAGTGATGAGTTTGACTCCATTTTGGCCAAATTATGTGCATTGGAGAATACTGGGCTGCTTGGAAAGGTTCAGAGTAAAAGACGAAGAGAATGACCAGCAGGAAGGTACATTTGGGTGTTATTTGCAATGTATCACTTTCGAACACAAAGACAACATCCATCCATCCATCCTCCATAGTTAACTCAACACAGCCACAGTGGGCAAGTAAGCAGCATAAGCCACATACCAGCAGTCAAACTGGATAAGATACCAATCCATTACAGAGCTCAGCCATACACATACACACACACACACACACACACACACACGTGCACACATGCACACACACTGATTTAGACACACCAATCCAATTCGTCTGTGTTTTCAGCCTGTCGGAGGAAACCCATGCAAGCACAGGAAGAACATGCAACCTGCACACACACAGAACTGGGGCCCAAATCAAGCCATCACCTGTCCACCAAGCCATCCCCCCACCCCCCACAAAGGAAATATTTATGTTCTCATTTAAATCAATTTTTAATGTAACTGCACAAATGCCAGAAATCACATGTTCCTAAGTATCTTTGCATTTTCCATGTATTGGAGTCACAAATATCATGTACTGTATAATGTAAGGGCATCTGACTGGTTTTGCGCCCCATCAGGCCGCAAGCGGCGTGTTTCCACCCCGCCAGGAACGCCGTGTTCTCATTACGTGGGCCGCGCTGTTCTCTGACGTGCCTCCCCATCTCTTTGCTCGGGGGCCGCTGACATCCCTCACGTTTTAACCGGGGGCGATGCAGCGGTTGTCATTAATCATACGGCCTGCAGTATATTTAAAGCCATCCACTGGCCGGGCGCCATATTTCAGCGCGGCCCGGGCAGCCATGAGCCGCAGCCTCCTGCCGCAGCACCTATGCGACCGCTTCCCCCATGCGACCGCTTCCCCCATGTGGCCGCTTCCCCCATGCACACGGTTCTGGGGCCCCGTGCTGCGGGCTTTCCGCAGACGGCTCCAAAAGCATTGCTACAGGATTCCTGGTGGGAATGGAGGGATTCGAATGTGATTCGGAGAGATCCCTGGGCGTAAAGGGAATCCGATCGCAACACGACGCACAGCTGTTGCTATATGCACCTCCCCCTGGTGATTATACTTACCCTGCGATCACCAGAAAGGTTTATTCAGATTATGAAATACAAGTAAAATATAAGCTGATACACAGTCAAATGTACATAAACCCTGTACTGAATAATCGGTGTGTGTGCCAGAAATATTGACACCATAAGGCTTCTGTTTGTTTTTATTAATTTAGATGAGGGTGATAATTATTCATTTACTTTTAAGCTTTGTATAATAATATACCCACGTTAAAAGCAACGTTTTCTGCAACAAGCTTCTTCCAATCTAAAGCTGAGATGCAGGCATCACTGGGCATCCTGCTAATCGCTAAAACATTCGGCTCCGACCGTCTTCTAATTGGCCGCGCCGTTACCGCAACGCGGGCGAGCGAGCGCAGGGGCGCGCTTTGGGACTGCGCTGATCCGCTGGCGATATTTCATCCCATCGCATCTATCCCTTTCTACTAAGGTGGAAAAAAAGCCTCCACTTCTGATTTCTGTCCTCTTTTATTTTTTATTTCCTTTTTCTTTGCGCTCCTGTACGAGACCCACGGGACGTGAATGTACCCAAATACCACAAACTATTGTTACAGCATCTCTCATCAGTAGGATCAGCATATTCATTCATCACGATCTTACTTCTCTAATTCATTCTGCTTCTCCCCAGGTGCCTTGTTTAGGAGGAATGCGTGAACTGCGAGGCCTTACAGTGTCACCGATTGTGTAGAGACAGTAATGGCGTTAATTGGAGGCTGGTAATTTCTGCGACAAGTGAATGGAATGACATACAGATCCATATCACTGTGTAACAGTGGCCAAGCATACTATGGAAAAGAAGTCTGAACACTTTCTGATAACTCAAGAATGTTTATATGTAATCTCTATAAAAAAAAAAAACTGCAACAGGCTCACAAGACAGCCGTGTAAAATATCACCTTCAAAGCTTCTTAAACGAAACATGTTTTAAATGTTGTTATCATATAATTAACACAGACAATAGAATGAACTATCCGACTTTGAACATAAAGACAAAAATTGGCTATTTTCTAATCCTGCTATGGTAGGGTTCCCCAATTCTGGTCCTGGGGGGCCAGAATCCAGCAGATTTCCCTGATTGAACACAACTTACTAGTAGGTGTGTTTTAAACTGTGTTGGACTGTGGCCAATCAGGGAACCAGAATCAGGGAACTGTTTGCTACGGCAACAGAAATGTGACTTTTTAATATGCAGTTTATTAAATGAGATCAGTTTAGATAATATGTATAAATAGTGTGGTTTTGCATTGTCCTGACATTCTGTTTTCAAATCTGGAAACCCTTGCAAAATTACCATGTGAAACACTGCAGGTTCTCAGCAGCGGTACATTAAAATAAGATGCCATTCCGTTGGATTCATAAAGACCTATGGATGAGGCTGGTTGATGTATGGTTCAGACAAAATGACCAAATTCAGATCTCACCTGCTCTCTGCATCTGCGCTGCATTTGGGGGACAGCAACTCGAAGGATTTTGTAAATTTTACCACCTGGAGTTAAGCAGATAAAGCAAAACTTAGTTGTCATTTTTGTATTTTGTCTTTCATTTCCAGGTCCAAGTCTAGGAGGGTCAAGTTCTACATGAAGTCATTATTTTATGGAAACCCCTTCAAGGTGTACTATAATGTTGTGCTGGAGGAAAATGTATTACAGTGACGAGCTGTCATGGCAGTCAAGCTAAGGCTAAGCTAAACTGGAGAGTAGGCTAAGGCTAAGCTAAGCTAACCTGCAGTGTAAGCTAGGACTAAGCTAAGCTAAACTGGAGCATAGGCTAAGGCTAAGCTAGGCTAACCTGGAGCATAAGCTAGGGCTAAGCTAAGCTAAACTGGAGCGTAGGCCGCAGGGTGTAGGGCGCGCACCGGGGACTCGATATCCTCCAGCAGCTGCACAGAGCAACGCTCACACTTCAGCAGGGTCTGGGCTCGCTGCATGATCTTCCGCACAATCTTCTCCAGGTCTGTCTGCTCCTCAAACAGGTCATTTACCACCTCTAGGAGAGCCTGAGTATGCAGGAAATAAAGATTAATCATCGTGGCATGGAACTAGTGATGTACACATGGTCTGCTGGGTCAATGTGGTGTTAGTTTCTGGTATTTGAGGTATTTATTAAACAATCATCATAAATATAGAACTGAAAAAGTCTGAGGATACGCCAGAAGGTCAGATGGTTGACCTCCATAATTTAGTTGACGGGGTCAGCTTGACCCAAAGGCATCTGGTTAGCTCACTGAAACAGCAGGAACGGAGCGACGGTAATGAGATAAGGTGAAACGCTGCCCTCTCACCACCACATTGACCTCCCCCAGCACAGATCAATGCTGGGGGGTGTCAGGGCCGGCATCTGGGCCCTCCCGACGTGATTTATGCCCCGGATCTCCACCGCCCATTCCTCAGTTTGCACACCCAGCCACCCTGGGAGGAGAGGACCTGCTTCACAACCACCCCCCCCCACCCCCGCTGCTGTGCTTGTGAGTGGGACGATGGGGATCAATACCAATCCTGGTGGTCAGCAGTGGGGGGTGGGGTCGGCGCGTGTGTGCGTGGGCGGGGGTGGGATGTAGGGGGATTTGAAACTCTTCCATAAGCCTTACTCTGCTCCGGTCGTACTCCTTCCTGGAGGCTGCAAAGAGCTGGGCGTTGGAGATGGCGATTCCGCAGAAGGGGAGGTACATCTGCAGTACCTGGTGGAGGGGATCAGAACCAGGGTAAAGTGACATGGCTTACACCTCCCATTCCCAAGACCTCAAGTTCTCAGCTGAGATCAGCATGGAAGAAAATGCAAGCTTTCGGTGAATGTCTCCTAGACGCACAGTGTTTGCAGTTGAATCCACAAAGCAGAACACATGCTAACTTAATACATAGAATGCAATGCACTGTGCACCTAATGTAGCCATAATGGAAGGTGTTTAGGGAGTAAGGGCAGCAGTTTCAATCGTCACATTTGAGAGCGTAACTAAGCAAAGCTACAAAACCTGCAGGGATTAGGTCCTGATAGTTTCTGACCACAGCAAAAGTATAAAAGGATAAGACACATAAAATTGATGTAGCAGGCATCATGATAACTGATTATATCCATTCACTTTAGCTAAAAGCGTTTACTATTAACTAAAAATATTATGGGATGGCATGATGGCTTAGTGACCTCCAGGCTCACCCTGACCCTGAATAAGTGAATAAGGTGGGTGCATGAATGTTTGTATTCCACTGATGTGTAAATGATTGAATGTTGCAACGAGCCCATTGCAATTAATCCAATATTGCTTACAGCAACAGCAATAATAATCATTCTAGGATTTGACCCTTAGGGGTTCTCAGCCCCCAGAAGAAATATGGGAAGTCACCCCCCATCACGATGATTAAATCTGTCAAGGTGGGAAGGGGGGGAGGGCTTCCACAATAAAGTTTGCTGGACAAATCACTAAATGGCATTTTTTTTTAGAAAATTTATTTTCTAGCGGAGCAGAGAAAAAAATAGGAGAGCTGCCCCTAAATAGGATGTGGAACTGTCTATGGTCTTCATCATCATCATCATCATCATCATCATTTTAGAGGGAAAAGTCCCTCTTCGTTGGAATCACCTTCTCCCTGTGGTCTTCCTGTGGAATCTGGCCAGACTGCTTCACCAGAGCTGCCTGACGTACAGCTTCATTTATTAAGTATGATTTGTGAGGCTTCATTCTGAGCCGAGCTGCCACCACCTCTGCTGCAGCCACCCCAACCTCTCCGCCCACGGGTGTGGCTGCCGCAGCTGACCTTTAAACAAGTGCATCAGGTGACCACCTGACTGTGTTTTCCTCCCCTTGCGAGATGCTTAACCAGCTCTCCTCTACGAGCGATCAATACGATTCGCGCTGCCTTTTTTCGCTTGGGGCCGCGGTCTGTTTATCCACGTTAATGCCAGCATTGGGCTCGGCCCGGAAAGGTCCATAAAGCATCCGACCACCCCTCAGCCCTCAATCACTCCGAGGGGACTCTGAGGGGACTCCGAGGGGACTCCGACGGTCGACTGAAATGGCACCTGTCAGGTGAGCTCAAACAAGGCAGCCGGCCCCGGCGAGCGGATGCAAACAGGGACGCCATCCTTGGGTAAACCCCGCGTCCATCACGCCCAGCAACAGATGCAGATGCGCTGATGGATGACATGGGGTTTGTGACGCAGCTAATAGAGTCGCATGGGGACAGAGACCCCTACAGGGTGGGGAGAGCAGGTGCAGACAGGCCAAGAAATCCACGGGGTCCCAGAGTACAAAAGAGGAAACATGCTCTGTGTTTCCAGGAAGTCACTCGGAAAAGCATCAGCTGTGACTGTTGTCCTAATAAAGCAAAGCCTCACCACCCACTACAGAAAACACCACAAAAAGCATCACAAGATCTTAAATTGTCCTTCCAGCTCCTTTGAGGCTTGTAGGAAGATGAAGATTTTCCCAACCCAGATGCATTTCCATCCATATGAGATAAGATAGCAGATTGAAATCTTCATTAATTTCCACAAAAACATAGGAAATCCTACAAAACACCTGGGACATCCTTGTGAAAAACCACTTTAGACTGGTTCATATAAAAACTACAATACGAAAATTCACAACAAAATAAGCATATAAACAAACCATAAAAACACACACATATAAAATCCAAGCCATCACAACTGAATCCTGAAAGTATAGTCACTATACATAAATAGATCATATTTGTGTGACTCAGTAGAAACATGATAGACTGCAGCTAACTTTCTTTATCTCTACCTAAGCTAGCTTCATTTCGGATTGACTTTTATTTTGACAAATAAAGGAGACAGAAGAATGCAAATGGATAATGGCAAACAGTGATGATTGGCCCCCTGGCAACACTGAGACTCTGGGTCCAGCAGGCTGATAGGATCTGTGGGATAGGTTTAATATACACCGCAGCCCCCAGAGACTCCGGTATGGATCCCATTTGCACCGACTGAGAGGATTTTCATAAGAAGAACAGGTTGCTCTAATTGGAGGCTTACGGCAGGGAATTGGGGGCGCCCTGTTGTGGCCTGATCAGTATACAGTTCATTCATAATGAAGCTAACTGACCCGGGCTCTGGGGAGTCCCCGCCTGCTGATGCCGGATCAGATTGCAGTCTGACCACAGCTTATCCTCACTACCTTACTGCACATAGCAGAAGGCCAGGAGAGGCCTGTTTGCTGTCTGTAATGGTACAAGCAGGCCCTGCATGATATGTGATGTTAATATCGATATCACATGTTACACACATGCAGTTCTCACATAGCAAGGACTGTGACAGCCAGCTGGGTTGAGACTATCAATAAGGTACATTTCTACTCTGTCATTAGCAAGCTTTGCAATTTTAATGATGGTTCCTTTTCAAGATTATTTGGTATATGTTTAAAAAATTCGACGTAAAGTTTTTGCACGAGCTTTGCACGTCCTCTCCAAGCCGATTATGATCATTTTTGTCCTCATGGAGCATTCGAGAAATTGAACAAAATGAGGGAGGAGGAGAAAAGCGAACGGAAACTGGTCACCAATAGACATTCATCTTCCATTGAAAGGAAATAATTCCATAAAGTCAATATTGAGCAAAATCAAGTGATTTCATTGGCACAATTCACGGTAGCTTATCTGGAAGATTCTACTGGCAAATAAGACGCAGCTCCAATTAGGTTATTTTGGGTACATTTTCAACCACTTTTTTGTTTTATAAATATCACAATGCGGGATGCCAGTCCATCACACGGGACACGCAGATGTTTACCACGGGCACTTTAGCTACCTGCACATCTTGGGGGTAGGGGGGACAGAGGGGAAACGGGGGGAAGGTAAAATATCCAGCGGAAGGTCACACAACACAGAGGCAGATCATGCAAAATCTGGGGGCGGGATTACAAGGTGTGAGGTACCAATGGCGTGGTGCCACCCTCATTCACAGGCTGCTAACAGGAAATGCCGTCTGACAGCCAGTCAGCAGGCCACTGTTACTTGAACTCTGCATAGGTGTGTAGCAGTGTGAAATCATTCATTCCTTTCATACAACTCAAAAGCACAAAAATGACTAAATATTAAAGTTTATCAATTTATTTATTCATTTTTTATTTGCAGAAGATGACAATTAATGATGAATTGAATAGTAGGAAATGCTTCTGTGAAATTCAAAAATACAAATAAAACCTCCCTTGTAGCTCCTGATTCCCCCTAAGGATTATGGGTTGCCCTTAAAGAAGGGCTGAATTTAAAGGCCCACAATGGTAGAAGGAAACCGTCAAATTATAATAGCAACCTAGTCCTTTGCACAGCTTTCACTGTGAAAATCCCCCCTCCTCGCTTAAACTATGTTGTTTTTCAATTCCACCCATGAAGGCCACACCATTGTCGACTTTGTGGCCAGTCGGTGCGACGATGATAAGGGGGGTAATCACAAAAATGGGAATGGCTGGAACATATTTTCTTTTGGGAATGGGAGTGAGGGGAGAGGTGGAATGTCCTTCATTTCACCCTGAATTGTGTGCACTCTCTCTGTCTCACTTTCTTTGTCTCACTCTCTCTGTCTCTCTCTCTGTCTCACTCTCTCTGTCTCTCTCTCTCTGTCTTTCTCTCTGAGCTGCACGATGGCAGCCAGGCCCCAAACCTGTGGCCTTCATCTCCACTTGACATCGCCAGGGTTGTCTTCATTTGCGTCAGAGCGGGACGCGGTTCCTTTCAGAGCTGCCCTTCTCTGATTGTTCATTATAGAAGCGCCATCAGATATTTATACCGGAGGAATGCGCAGTGTGAAATTTCACGGGGCTGTTCGCACGTTCTTACGTCCCTCTGAACGATTCCGTCAGATTAAAGAGAGAGGGACGACCCGCCTGTCCTCCCTGCTGAGTCCCTTCATAGGCCTCCCGATGGCAAATGTCTTCTGAAACAACACTCCCAAACAACACTCCCAAACAACACTCCCAAACAACACTCCCAAACAACACTCCCAAAAACACTTTCTGTGATATATTCCTTTAAATTAAATGTATGTTTTACATACTGCAGTTGTCCCAAGGCACTGATTAGAGTGCGTGGCCATCTATTATTACATCATTTATATAAAACGGTGCACGAAATAGGAAAAAAGGGAAGAGGGAAAGAAAGAATGCCTGAAGACAATGGAGGAAAGGAACTAAAAAAAACCTCTGGGGGTCCATGCTAACATTATATAAAACAGAGAAAATGAGTGTGCTTTAATAAAAGCAAGATGTACACTGTGGTCATAATCAGAGTCCATCAGTGAGCAAGTTCTCCAAGCAGGTCTGTGTAATCTGAGAGATTATTGGCCGCATCCATGGGAGATAAAGAATTAGATTCTCACAACAGGAATTTTACCTCCACATGAAGACACAAAAAAAAACATTTATGGCCACTCAAGTACTGGTCTATGACCGTGGATGCAAGTGTTGCTATATATTATACAACACAGCAGATTATTGACCATTGAACATACCCGTCTGGAAGCATCTCAATAAGGACAATGCCCAGATGGAGGATAAAACATTCTCAGCAGGAGTAATAACACTTCTCTCTCGCCAGCCTCTCATTAGCTGCAGTACACCTGCTCTCGGCCTGCAGAAACGACGACACTAATCTAATTATTACACATCTGAACAGAGGGAGAGGCCGCTTATGAAACGCCCTCAACAGCCACAGCGCTCGCCTTCAATCG